GTTTTTCGGTCAAGCAAAAAGTTTAGGTCTCTACGGGTGGTACGGCTGCTGTTGGCATGGGTCTTGATGAGCAAGGAAGAGGTGGGTGGAAAGGAGTGGAAATCAAGCTAAAGCCTTCAAGCCATGCTTATAACTTTAGCGAAAAACGGAGCAGTCGAAATTCCAGTCATAATAGCACCATCTACCCAGTATGGACTTATGTGGGAGGATTTATTGAATGAATAGTTGATAGTGATAACCAAAAGGACTTTCCTTAACCAGTGGAAGCAGGCTAGTGCTATTGGGTGCACTAGTGTGTCTGCGATTGAAAAGGGGGCGAAACTCTCCCCATGAGCTCCTGTCACTAATTTGTCCCAAGTTCCGCGTAGGTCCTACAGATATATCGACTCAACAGTCTCTGCCACGGTTGTAAAGAGGATAGCCTTCAAGAAGAGTAATAGAAGGTTGGCATCGAGTAATATCCTGGTTAGTACACGACGATCTATGAGCTTATCCCAGCCTATCCTATACGGAAACGATAATTGACGGGAGCTCTAAGTTTACCACCTGTCTACATACAACATGCTGGAATCGGGCACTCGCAGGTGTGCTCAGCCCTTCGAAACTCCTCTGCGACAGTTTAAATCATTTTTAAAACCCTTTCCAATCCATCACTGAAGGTTTCATTGGTCCCATTTCGAGCCTCTAAGCTAATCGTCTCAGTTCTGCTCCAGCGACCAAACCCTTCGAGAAGAACTCAAACCATAAAAGTCTGCTAACATTTAGAAAAGATCTCTCTATAAAAGTAAGCAATATCGATTTCGGTACTTTCTGTGGCGCACATGCATTCCCTCACAATTTTCTTCCTTCAAGTATGACATGAATTAGAAAATTTCTGCATTNGCTCCAGCGACCAAACCCTTCGAGAAGAACTCAAACCATAGAAGTCTGCTAACATTGAGAGAAGATCTCTCTATAAAAGTAAGCAATATCGTTTTCGGTACTTTCTGTGGCACACATGCATTCCCTCACAATTTTCTTCCTTCAAGTATGACATGAATTAGAAAATTTCTGCATTGCTCGCTCAGATTTCTTAACATTATATCATCCAAAATTATTGAAAGTGCTTATATAAGTACAGTTCAATAAAGGGTAGTAGTTTTTTTTTATGTAATCTTGGTAGTTTCATCTCGGCCTTCATAACACAGGACATAAGAAAAGCCGCTCTGGGTGATAAAAATGAAACGACCCTGTCCCGTCTGATGGGTTATTGGCCCAACATCAAAGGATACAAATCCTTTGGAGAAAATTTCAGAAAAACTCCTAGTTATATGGGCATTGAAGAGCTCTAGTAATCAGGAAAAATTTTAAAAACGACTTCTGACTTTGGACAAAAATCATGGCAATGTCAATAAATATTATAATTTTAAATAACACTCCGTATTCTAACGATTATTTCTCATGAATTATCATTTCATTTCGGAGATCCTTATTGTTTCTCTTGCTTAATTTTTTTTCAATCGTCTCTTGAAGAAGGATCTACTGGGCCTTATTTCGCCGGCAAAAATATCGAAAAAATAAATACGTAATTATTGGAAAAGCTCTGGTCGAGAAAATCCAACCGAGGAATGAAAAATTCTGGAACTGCTGGTAGCTTTAGTAAGTTGCAAGCTTTGATAGCCTTCAAAAACTTGGGTCAATGCCGAGAAAAAGAAAAAAGGAAGTGGAGAGTACAGAGGAAGCGGCTGAGTGATGCGTATGCAAGTGAATGAGTTGCGAGCTGTAGAGGAGGAGGCAGCGCCAACGACAAAAGAACTCCGTACGACTCATCCGAGGCATTTGGACAGATACAGCGTGTGAATGTAAACTGAAGAAGTGCCAATTGCGAGTTCAGAAAACCGATCGAGAATCACGCTACTACGGATTGCTATTTTTCCTTACAGCCTCCAAACGTCCTCTTCCTGCCTGCCTGCCATCGAGCCACTGAAAGGTTGTACAGGTATAAAAGCGTACCTCAAACCCAGATCCGAGTATTGGCCCAGCACTTCCGATATACAATTTATGGGCGTCTTCCATTATCAACTGCGGAAGATCACGTATCTGAAATGGAAAGCAATTAGATTACCAGCTAAACAAAAGATGCTACTTTGGGTTGCGCCATGCTTTCGACTACTCTTCGATATGCTCGAAAAATATCAACTGGTATACGCCCTCGCAAGAGTCGCTTGAGTCATTACATTCGATCCTCCTAGATGTGTTTGGTACTCATTGACCCAGCGAATGCTAATGCCAGGCTTGGCTCTCGACCCAAAGTCAGGCAGGAGCTATTTACCACTTCTCTGGCTCTAGCCCTCTCTAGCTCAGAGTTTCGAAGTCATCGCACTACCACCACTGCAAAGCTGCGCCAACTCCGAGCATTTGAGTTGAGCTAGGTTAGACTTCCCCATATGAAGAGTGTTGTCACACGGAGAGCCCAGTATCTGAGCGTTCAAGGTCCAGCCATTACTCTCTTTCAGAAAACCTAAGCTTTATTACGACGGCTTGTTTGAAACTGCCGAGCATAAATGTATGGATAATGGCTATGCTTTGGAAGGCATCAAAATTTAAATAGGAATGTGAAGGAGCAACACAAAAGGGAAATGGGGGAATCAGAACAGCAAACAGAGGCCGGATGCACTGGTAGCATGGCTCCGAGCATGAAAGTTCTGTGAACTTTCGCAGATTTACAAGCATTGTAGAGCTGCTGGTAATGGAAAATTTCTGGACAGAAAGAAGAAAGGAACAGCTGGAAAATATCGAGAATGAACTTCAGGTTCTAATCTATAAAGACGTGAAATATCCAGTGGTATCTGGCCTCTATTTGCTCACAACAGTTCTTAATTAAGTGTTTCATTGCAACATGGCTTGGCTGGTTGTTGTAGTTAGTTGCCCCACGGTGGTATAACAATAGGATCTTCCGATTCTCATCCGGTACAATACCTAAGGCCCACAACCTGGCCGTTCATGTGGTTTCATAAACGGCCAGATTTTGGGCTCGTGCACCGAAAAAGGAAAAAAGGATTCATGAACATATCACTACAGATCCGACGACAGAGTTTCATTCTGATTTACCGCTTATCATTCAAAGGTAAAGGAACGTCCTGGATCAGATGTGCACGAACCAGCCAAAGCAGATTGTCTTTAGAGGAACGTCTGTATCGCACTCTAACAAAGAGATTCAAAGCAGTAATAAGTTTTGTGACATGTTTCAAGGACTGCGAGCTTTTTAAAATAGAATCGAAAGACCTGATCTTTGGTTACCTTGACAGATTTAAATTCAATCATGAGCTCACCTCTCTTTCAGCGAATCGAATGCATTTGAAATATAGGGTCACTGAATCCTTGGTGACTTCGAATGCGATCTGTGTCCACTGCTGTACGAACTCGGGCACAAGGAATGAAGCAATTGCACGCGACGTCGCGTCGCGACGGGACGAATAGATCAGTGAGATGTTCGTCTGACCAGAGCCTGAAAATCGTCGAATTCCTTCGCTATTCTGTTTAATCGCTAGAATTGGTCGTTTCATCAAAATCTCCGTTCTTAAGGGAATCAAGCTGTGTTATATTAGAATCCACTTCCACAAAATCTAAAAAAGAAAAAGTACTGATTTATGTTTTTTGGACCAGACGCCTGAATTCTCCGAGACAACACTTTCCTCCAAATCAAAATCTCGGAAGTACTGCTTCAAAATATCCCATGCTAATTAGGCTTCTGGTTTATCAAAAGACATTTTGGCCCTTGTAAAGATCACATCTCACCTGCTGGTTCTAACAGCACACCAACATCTACCAAAGTATCGTATGGATTAACGATAGCAAACAGATAACCGCCTCGCCGATCCATTGGCTTTACAGAAGCCAATAAGGAGAATTGTGGAAAGAACCGTCGTGGTAGATATAATCGATACGGTACTGCAATCTCGACTCCTCTCTGAAATCGGAATTCAATAGATTTTCGGTGTAGCTCAAGTAAACGTACATTATCTCGTGCTCTGCTTGGCAATTTGCCTAGTTTCTACATATAAAGCAGTTTTTCTATAGACCAGCTAGGCCATTTGATATCCTCATCAGGTAAGTGTTCGTGAAGTGATACCGCAACTCACTACCACATGATGGCATAACCTAAGCGGTCTACGGTTCCTGGAGATGGAGTCCTACCATTCGGAAGGGTCTCTGATAGTGCGTCTCCTGCCAGTGCACTATCTTACCCCTTCAAGCTGTACTTAAGATAATTGTAAGGTTCTCTTTGTGCGTGTCGTATTGTGATCCTATACCAAAGGACTGGGGTCATGTATATACTTCACGATGTAATCGGCTAGAACAAAAGAAATCCCTACAGCGGGCTATAGTGCACCTGGGAAAAAGGACATTACTGAAACTTGAAACTCAAGCCCTTCGTTGAACAACAATCCACTCAATATCAGTTGCATCGTTTTTCGATGCACACTTTTTTCTGAGATCTTGAGAGACTACGGGAAAATCGACTCTTTTGAAGCCATTCCTTCATAATAATTAAAGTCACGATTGGGGTGCGCCCCGCGTTTGATTTTTATTCAGAATCGTAATACACTTTGAATGCATACGTGCCCTATGGGATGACTTGCAATGGCTAGTTGATGCACAAGTCACTGCTTTGACTCTCCAGATTAGTCTGTTGCCATTAAACCGACCCAGAAGGAGATGAAGGCTTCTTTGATCTGGGCGGATAGCAAGCTGATATTCGATCTCTGAACTATGCGAGCCACTTGTTACTGTTACATTCGTTCCTTCTATCAACAATGACAGTGCGGCATTAAAAGTTTGCTCCATACCCAACTGCTCGGGTAGGCAAAAATTCTGGTAACTATTCTGCATATTTAGGATGCGCCATGCATTCTGTTCAAAACTGGAACCGTGTAGGCATTTGTAAGTACATAGACCTGATCTAGGGAAGTGTCGGCATAATCTAGAGAACCGCTCAGGAAAGACAGGAAGTCCGTAGCGTCGCTGTACTTGTTTAATAGTTCACTTCTCAATCAAGAAAAGGAGTGTTGCACTGGGAAAAGATGCTGATATGAGGGCCTCTAGATTGGAACCCGCTACCAGTGAACCCAGCTCCCCGTTACTCCACGTCATGGAACATCAATATTCCAAGGCTTAGGTCAATAGGAATAACTTCAAGGACACCGCTTTGTACCACAAGACATCGAACAACCCTTACAAATGTTTTCAAATACACATTCCATTTTGAGTGGATGCCGATTTCACGGCCTATCTTGAATTGCCTATGTAACCTTTTGACCTTTTCACCCCTCGTCTTGCAATTTCTCCTGAGAGCAATATGGTGTACTGCAAAAAAATAATTGCTTCACTACTAGGAGAAAGTTCATGATTTTAAATATGTGGCAGAAAAAAAAATAACAAAAATAAAATTTAAAAAGGTCCGTCAGCAGTGAGCTGATTCTTCATTCAACGAAGCAGGGTACCCCTGTTCCTGAACGCTCTTGAAGAACGATATCGAGACGTTTCGAAGAAATACGACTAAAAAGACCTCTCACCAGAAGTAAAGAACCTCCACTACTCCTTTACTATGTGTTTGGATAAAACTCCTGCCTTTTCAATTTCCACCCACATCAATACTGACGCCCTCCCTGGTACCCGGGTGAGCTATCCAAAAATTGATAGACAAAACTGCATTTTGACCTGATGTACTACATATAGAGAAACCGTTTCTGCTCTTTACATTTCGATTGCGACCCCTTTCAAGCGGTGCAACGTACATCCAACGGTGATGCTAAATGAGCTACCTCTCGCCGCAGGGAATCGAGAGATAACGACGGATCACACATCAGCAGATCCCCTCTGCCGATCAACAATCATCGACAGCCGCACATTGACATTGGCAGCAAGGTAGAAAAGAAGTTAAAGGAGTATTTATCGAAAAAATAGAGTAGGGCAATAAAGGGAATAGAGACTAAAAAGGAAAAGAAAAAAATTCATGCATGTTTTACTACGGTAACTTTTTAATATTTAAAGACATTGAAGGGGAAGAAGGCGATATCTTCTGCTTACAGAATAATCGATCAAAAGATGAAGCACATAGCGCCTCGAACCGCCGAGTTAGAAGAAGGCCTTGCGTACCCCATAGCGCAGTGGTTCGAGGCGCTCCTTCTCGTGACCTTTACCTCTCGATCCGGCTCGACCCGTTCTCAACTAACAGACACGGTCGCAGCCAGAGCCAGGTAACCCAGCGCCAGTTGTTGGGAGGAGATCATTTCGCTGTGATAACATACTATTTGCTCAACATAGCATATAAGTTATTAGATTTAGCAAATGGACTGGAACCAAGGGGGCCCGGTGGAGCATGCTATCTCAGTAAACGAGCTCTTCAACTTTTTAGCATATTTCCAAAAAAAACAATGAACACCTATCAATACCCATTAATCTTTGATGTTTTGTGAGTTTGCCCTGCTATACGAATCCGAGATATCCGCCCGCCCTTTGTGTACTTTCAATTAGCTTGTCACGCAGAACCGTTTCTTTAAGCATGGGATGGAGAGGGATTCTGAGCATGAGTGGACAATAACTTCAACATAGTTTGTTCTGAAATTGTTTTCTAAAGTCATTCTCTTTGTTCTCGGATTGCTGTTTTACGTAATTCCTGCAAGAAAACTTCATGATGGGAATTTTTGATAAAATTCTTCAATTTTCCTAAACTGAACTTCTGTAAAAAAGAATTCCGTGTGTAGGTATGGCTGAGGGTGACAGTGGATGATGATGATGCAAACGAAGCACATACATTTCAGAAATCATACCCAAGGTGGGGTACTATCCTTTGAGCACTACTATGCTTATCTTAGGGTAGTTAATACCAGTCCCAGAATCATAGTGCTGATTTGTACATGGATTCCACTGTCCCGTAACAGAACCAGCATCGCTCACGATTGAGTACGAACTGAATTGACCTACTGACTAACTAATTGAATTGATTTCGTGGCCTGGGGAACAGAAGGCTAGGCTTCTAACCGCTACCCTAGACCCCAGCGGCGTGGGAAATCAGTAACGTTCGGAAGGTAACGAATAGAAAAGAGGCATTTTGTTGCTCTTTTGTCAAATCGCTCAGTTTGTTTCTTACCTGAATTCCTATGGCTGGCAGACTATCGATGCCTTTGGCACGAAAAACCCGTGGATCGCTATTGAGAGCGCTTTCGACCGGCACCAACAGATCAACTTCAGTTTCGCCATCTGAAACAGGAATTTTCAATAATGTAATGAAAGCCCTGAAAGCTGACAATCACACTCTTTGCTTTTTGTTTCTAAGTTTGAAATTTTTCGGATTTCACTCCCGTCAGTGGACTGTCCTTATGAATGTTCAAGTTTTGGAGCGTATTTTACATAACAAGAAAGTTTAATCATAAGCAAACCATACGGCTTCAGATGGGATTACAACCCTCGTCTATGATGTCCGTGCAAAATGTCATATCTGCTTCAGGTAGGCGATAAAAGTTATGATCTTCAAAGTAAGCGACCCACGAAGATGAACTACGTCTGAGCCAAAAGCTCCTTCCCCAGTCATGTTTCTGGTCTCGAAAGGTAATCATACTTTTCTTAAATGCTAACGGGTCACTCATCACTGACAATGCACGATCAGCTATGTATAAAATAAAATCCAAGAAAAAAAAACATCGTGGAGATTGACCACCGGGTGTGGAAATTGAAAATTCTATCGAACCACCGAAAAAAAAATAAATTTCATATTCCTCTGCTGCTCCCCCCGTTTTCTAATTCTCGAAGAATTATAATTATAGCATTCCCCTCTAGCATGGGGCCCATCAAGGATGGTAAGGAAAAAACAGAAGGTTCACGACACACACAAGTTTCTGCCGTGACTCCAAAACCTTGTCATGTTATTGAAAGCGTTATCAGCGTTGATGGTGTAATGACAAAAGGCGAACTATCACACACGCATGGTCACGGGTTCAAGTCCTAGATCAACATTTACTCAGGCCTACCAGGCCTTCCATCCTTTCAAGGCCGGTTATTTGGCACTAGACAAAACTCGTCTGGGAGGATTAAAGTACTGACTTGTTCAGCTGAAGGCTACCACAAGTCATTGTGTAGGCCACATACACATTCAAACGCCACTACGGTTCCAAATGTAAGTCGAATGCGGGGGCGCATCCCGACAAAAACCTTACCCTTTACTATAGCCATTGAATGACGTCAAATATCACTTATATATTTGTTGTGTGATCGTTTAAATCATGACATAGAACTTTGGGAGGGTAATAGAACCCCACTGAATTTCCGTTTTTATAAAGGAGATATGAAACGGGAATGTTTCTAGCTTCTCTTGTACGTTCACTGTGTAAATCGCAATCTATTTTTATTCGAGGGACTGTGGACATTCAGAATTACTAGGCTAGGCTCACCGTACAATCTGCTATAAGACCATCTAGCTTTAGCTCCTAAATGGATATAGGATGAAGTTTTTGGCGTTAATCAATCCCGCCCGGGGGATGCGCCCACGCATTCGACTTCCATTCGGAATCGTTGTGAGCTATTGAATGCGTATGTGGCCTATACAAAGACTTGCGATGACCAGCAAGCATGTACAGGTCAGTGCCTTTGAGCTCCCAGAAAGTCTGGTACCATTCTGCCGTTCCCGGAGGGATAGAAGACCTGGTTGGCCTAGGCAGATACCGATCCGGGATTCGAGCCAGTGATGCCGTGAAGTGCGTCACTTGCCAATACACCACCTTCGTTCTCTCTTTCGCTTCAGCTTCTTACGAAGTTCATCTTTCTTCGATTGTTTGGGTTAGAGCAATCGTTTGGCGTATCTATTCGCTGGCTTATCATACCGTATAAACTGCAAGTACAGTAGTAGAGGAACAAAACCACAGCATGGACTGAACAGAATGAAATAAGTAAAGTAAAGCAAAATGGTAGCCAAAACTTTAGCTTGAATATGAAAAAGAAGCGGTAGAGCTGAGTTCCTTTTTAAGTTAGTTTTTCGTCTCATTCGCTCCTAGTTCCACAATTAATGATGACCATAAATCTGCAGATTTTCGCACAAGTCTAGTACCAGCCTAAATNGATTGTTTGGGTTAGAGCAATCGTTTGGCGTATCTATTCGCTGGCTTATCATACCGTATAAACTGCAAGTACAGTAGTAGAGGAACAAAACCACAGCATGGACTGAACAGAATGAAATAAGTAAAGTAAAGCAAAATGGTAGCCAACACATTAGCTTGAAGATGAAAAAGAAGCGGCAGAGCTGAGTTCCTTTTTAAGTTAGTTTTTCGTCTCATTCGCTCCTAGTTCCACAATTAATGATGATCATAAATCTACAGATTTTCGAAACAAGTCTAAAACCAGCCTAAATGGGAAGATATGCTTGACCGAAAAGGAATTGGCAATCTCCCCTATGTTCCCTGTACAGTCATTTAACAACAGGCCTTAGCAGCATACCACAATAAAGAAGGACACCCTGGAAGGTCTTGCTTCTTACAATTAGCTGCACCCACTTTTTTCAGATTTCAGAGCTAAAAACAAATTAGAAGCTCCTTTACTGATGAGCTGAGTTACCTCAAATAGGGAATCTCTGGGCAGAATCCGGTAATTTTCAATTTAGGTAAAAAAAGGTACAAAAGGTGTGCTCCCTCTCCTTGATTGCTCGCGGTGATAGATGGGTACGATACAATAAGCGGTATGGTCACAGCATCACTTAGGCTGAACCTACAGCACATATGAATCTAGTTCAGACGAATTTAGGCATATGTAAAAGACATGGCGTACACCAAAGTAACAAGAAAGATCGATAATGCTTCATTTCGTTGTTCTAGTTTTACCAGCTAGATAGAAGGCTGTTCAAAATCTCAGAGAATAACAGAAAATTTTTGGAATCCGGAATCCGGATCCGGAATAATTCCGAACTTTTGAGTTATTTATTAAAAGGTTCTAAAAAATTAGCTCGCTTGGAAAATTTCTGTTCAAATGGTTTATAAGTAGAATCTTCCAATCCGCAGTGGACTATCCTATCATATCATTACGACTTTTCATAACTGATAGAACTACAACAGCGCCCGCAACATTTGATTTTGAATGAATGACAATTGCATGGCGCATCTTCCAATCATTCAATCATCAACCTTCTTATACATTCTTTCTGCAGTCTTGCTCAAGAGCAACAAGTCATCACGACAGAAAAACTGATCAAACCGGTTGTCACACAAAAGGGAGTCTCCTTGCACATTCAATAGCGATGTTTAAGTGGTTAATCATTGGCAACGGCTCCAGTACAGCTGCTGTTTCAACTGGGAAATTTCTAAATTCACAAAAATAGGCTTTGCCCATTCCTGCAAGTAATTGGCGTTAGTAAAATTCTCGTTCCCAGCAAGTTGAATGCCCCTACAAGGGAGCAGAACCGCTGGTCTCGTCCCACACCTGAAGAGAATTGGAATGGCTTAAAAACCCCGTCCCTTTTCCTTGATTTCTGTGTGACATCTTGCACATCAACAGGTGCCCTCCCACACCCACTCATCCAACCTTCGCGCCCTCCCGGCTCCCCAGGTGGGCTATCCAAAAATTGAGGCTACGGGCGTACCCTAGTGGCGGGCCCTCGCAGGGTACCTTGCGCACTTCACTTTACAGCCTGTCCAAACGATGTAACGTACATGCGACAGCAGTGCTAAGCGTGCTATCTCTCGCTGGGGAGGTTCTAGACACGAAAAAGTTGTAATAGAACTAAGTCAAATTAAAAGATGTAAATACAAATGTGCTGTATTGACATTTGTACTGCACATAACCCACTTGCACAACAATGTTTTTTCGTTGCTTTATTCTGCCCCTCACTTCTCCCATGTATGAACCCGTCTTTCTTGAAAAGTTACTATCAAACCCTTGGCTCCACCCTGAGTCACCCTTTTTGTCCTGCTCGATGTTTTTTTTTCCTTTTTTAAAATTTTATTTGCATTTCACACGGGCATAGTTCGTCGACTAACCAAATGGATGAGTCCTCTCCACCCCATCTTCTCTCCCCTGTTCGTTATCAGCAGTTTTAGGGGAGTAAATCCTACTTTAGAGGGAAAATACTTCTCAGAGACGTTCCTTGCTACATAGGAATCCTTATTGGAGTGTTTAATTAGAAGAAGGGTCTTCAGGGAAGTCACTTTGAAAATTTATTTCACCTAAATGCCAAACATTCCCGGAATGCACAGGTCACACTTGGCACTAGGAATACTTTCAGTCCTCGATGGGTGATAGTACGACCCCTAAATGCTGACGAATCCCCCATTCCTACAGAGGTACAGTGGGAGCTTTATTAAACTTGCGAAAAAAACGACGTGGAGATTTACCGCTCAGAGTGGAAATTGGAAATTCCATCGAAATGCTAAAAAACAAAATAAATGCCACCTTCCAATGCTCCTCCTTCCGTTTTCTAATCCTCTGAGAGTTATAATTGCAGCCTTTCCCTCTAGCATGGAGGCCATCATGAGCGAGAAGGAAAAAATGAAAATTCAATACAGGTCCAAATTTCTACCGTAACTCCAAAACTTCTTCGTACTATTATAGGGTTATGGACGGTGATAGTGTGGTAGCCCACTATCACACACGCATGGTCACGAGTTCGAATCCCGGATCGACATCTACTCAGGCCAACCACACCTTCCATCCTTTCGGAGTCGATTAATTGGCACTAGACTCGTTTGGGAGGATTAAAGCACGGACTTGTTTATCTGCTCCTTGACTTGACTAACGCAAGTCATTGTATAGGCCACATACGCATTCAAACGCCACTACGATTNGACTTGTTTATCTGCTCCTTGACTTGACTAACGCAAGTCATTGTATAGGCCACATACGCATTCGAACGCCACTACGGTTCCGAATAGAAGTAGAATGCGGGGGCGCATTCCTCAGACGCCAAGAACCTTTTCCCTTGTTATAACCATTGAGTGACATCAAATATCATGGACATATTTGTGGTGTAATCGCTTGACTCATGAGAAGTTATGGGAGAATACTGCAACCCCAGTGAGATCCGGTTTCTATAAAGAAGAAATGAAACGGGAAAGTTTTTGTCCGTTTTTTTTTCTCCTAGAAAAAAAAGGGAGGGCAGCGCCATTCTGGATCATGGAAGGCTAGAGGGCTGAGAAGCAAGAATAAACAACCTTTCTTGTGCTTAGAGATGGATTTTAGCCAAGAATAATGATTTTACCTAGCTTTTAGAATGGGAAGAGCTCCGGGGTGGACGAGATCGTGCAAAAAGCTGAGATGAAATTATGATAGGATTGAATATCCAGTTGGCTCACCACTCCGGAGTTCCACTTCTCCTGCTTAGGTAGACAAAAATTTATATCATAAAAAAGCTAAGCTATAAAGAGTTTCTAAGCACCATTATGAGTTCACAAACTCGGCTACTCTTCCTTCTTTGCGCTTCAGTGTCAGTGATCCAAAAAAGCGTCCCCCACCCCCTCCCCCGATCGTATTTTAGCCCCACAATCTGCTTTGAGGCCATCAAGCTTTAGCTCCTTACAGGATTTATCTACCTTCCACCGTTCTAGTTGTTAGTATTCACTCGCTGGCTTATTATACCGTATA